GGGAGGAGCTCGGTGGGGTGCGGGAGAGAAGAGGGAGCGGGGACGCCCAGGTGCAGGGCCCCCAGGTAAGCGCGAGGCCGGCCGGGCGCCACGGAGTCCACCCCCGCGGAGAGGGCTAATCACGTTCAGGGTCAGGCTCAGGCCGTGCTGTCCGCAAGGGTCGATTCGGGGGCTTCCAGCACCTCGGCGCTTTCGGAAAGAAGCAAGAGGGAACAAAAGGGGTATGGGAGCAGGGAGGTGGTTGATTTATGCCTGCACTTCAGCTTGTGTTTTCGCTGCCATTAGCGAGAGAAAAGCCCAGACTGGGAGAGAAAGGAGCGCCGTGGGACCCGCGGTTTGCCCACCCCATGGGGGCGCATTGGCCGCGACAGAGCGGGGCCGAGTGCGAATCTGACTCGCCCGCCCTCCCGGGGCCCGGCTCCGCAAAGTGGCTCGGCAAAGTGAGGGTCGGGAGGCATTCCCCGGGCGGCCGGGGCTCCCCCCCCCCCGAGCGCAGGCCCACGGGGGGAGGGGGGCGCCCCAGCCGCAACTCCGGAAGCAAATCGAAGGGGGCAGTGCATGAATTCCCCCCACCTGCCCGAAAGTGCCCTTCCTCGTATTATCTTCATTACGGTATTTTAAATTTCCCTTTAAAAAAAAATAAAGAAACGAAACAGAAAAAGCACAGAAGGCACTTGTTTGGTTTCATTCTGCCTTCACAGCTTTAATGACTCCATTTGTGGAAGCTGTTTAGGAAACTGGTGAAGAGGGGGCCGGGAGAGGCGCCGCCTGTGGCCTGGGATGCCTGCTTCCTCCTTCCCCCCCCCCCCAACCCCCACCCAGGCTACCCCAGCCGAGGCACCTGGTTGAGATGACTCCACTCCCAGCCCCAGTCCCAACCCTGGCCCCTGCCTCACCCCCTTTCCTACAGGGTGTCTCCAGCCCAACTCCAGAGCTGAGAGTCTAAAGAACGCGCTTAGCCGCCGGCAGGGGAGGAGGGGGGCGCTCCAGGTCGGGCCATTCAGAATCCCTAAAGTTACTCTAAGCACTTGGGAACAGAAGGGGTCTTCCTCTAGCCTCATCCCCAAATTCCTAGGCAGCCCACGCCCTCCTTAGAAGACACTGATGAGGAGGGAAGAAGAGATGGGAAGCAGATCTCATCTTAGGCCCGACAGCCAACAGCCACAGGGTAGGGAGGAGATGGAGCCCCCCAAAGCTTGAAAATAGAAAGTAAAAATATATTCTGCCCCATTTATATGAAGGCAAAGCTTTAAAATGTAGAGCCAGGTAGTCTCAGAGCCCAAAGGAGCTTGGCCTGTGATTCGTCTCACCCAGGGCAGATTAGGCACCAGGAGTGGAGCAACCTTTGGGCACTTCGCTAGTCTCAGGACCTTACTTCTGATGTCTGGCCCAGCCCTGTTCCACCCGTCTGGGGTCTGAGTTCCTGACTCCATCTCTTCACCCACTCCCCCATCCTGCTATACAAGTCCCATCTGACCTAACTACCCAACAAACCTTATCTTTAGCCGCTGGCCTTCTGTGGGGCCTCAATTTGGCATCTCGGTCCCAGATCCATGCTAGTGGAGTGAAGGCTAGTGGAATGAAGGAGCCACAACTAGCCTGAGGTTTGAGGCCTGAGTTCAGATTCCAGATCTATCCCTGAGTCCCCGAGTAACCCCAGGGGGGCACGTCCGGGCCTGTTCCAAAGCTTCAGCATAAATAAGGGGGTTGGAAAAGAGAGGAATTGTTTTGTCCTCCGGAATTCCGGAGGGGTGGGGGTGGAGGGGGGGGGGGAGGAGAGAAATTACCTCCGAAATTCCTCCCCTGCTGTGATACTTTCACTATATGAGAAATCTCATTAAGACCCTCTAGATTTTCCATTTTTTTGAGATGGGGGTTTGCTATCGTGTAGAGAGAGACACGGATGGGCCACCACACCACACTACACTACCACCCTCCCCCCCCCGCCACACACACACATGCACACAGAGCAGAGACACTCGGAAAACTCAGATTTTTAATTGCATCTTAAAAGGAAATGTTATCATGACACCGTGGTCCCTTCTCAACCATCCCAGCCAGAGGCCATGGCAAGACTCATTAAAAGCTCCAGGAAAGGCTAACAGGTGGGTGGGGTGACAGGAGATCCTCAGGGCTAACCCAGGCTTTTGAAGTGGCCTCTGCTGGCCAGTCACTTGCTGACATCCTCTTCTAAGGGTCTGGGGTTTTATGGTTCTGGGTTTGATTTCTCCACCATCAAACTTTATGGCTTAAAAATCCTCAGTGCTGTAAAGGGAGCTCATCTCCATATTTACTGGGGAGGGGGGCGGTGAGAGGAAAGAGTGGCGCCTGCTACCTGAGGGGAGCTTGCACATCTCCCAGAAAGACACCCCCCCCCCTTCTATGGAGACAGCCTTATCTTCCTCAGCTTGATATAAACCTCGAGGCAGAGGTGGATGGGGCCCCGAGGAGGGCTCCGAGGAGGAATCCAATGTGACCTGAACCAGCCTAACTATTGGAGAGGAGCAGCCCTGTGCGCACGTCTGCAATCTGTGGTCAAGTGAAGGCAAGATTTGAGGAAAGCCAACACGCTGGCCTTGGTTTTCCCCATCAGTGAAATGGGACTCATGAAGGATCCAACGGGCAGACCCAAAGAACATTCTGAAAGAAGTTCTGTGCCTGTGGCATCAGAGAGATGAGCTGTGTAGGAGGAAGGCGCCGGTTCTCCCTCCTGAAGGCAGATTTCTAAGGGCTTTACACTCTGGGCAGAGGGAAGGCTGCAGGCCAACCCCACCAGTTGGCCCCTCTCTAGGCTGGTGGGCAGGCAGCCCCTGCCGTGCTAAGTAATGAGCACAATTCCAATACCGGTTCTGCTCACGAGTGAGAAATCAAAGCCTGGTATTAGAGGCCATTTCTGGCTGGGCTCCGTTTGTGCCCAAATCCATCAAAGCCCTGGGCCTGGGGTTTCCTCTGGGAAAGGTGGGGGCTGGATGCTTTGTTAAGCAGGAAAGGCAGGCCACCCCCAGCCTCCCCAGCGGAACCTGGCTCCGGAGAACTCTCGGCCAACCAGTCTTGTCTTTTTCCTGCCCAGCGGAGACCCTCCCCCCACCCTCAGTAACCTCAGTATTTATTCCCCATCCCATTGCCCGGTTGGTTCTAAAACAGTTTCCCAAGCGCCAATCCTGCCCAAGTTCACAAAGACTTCACCCTACCCTTCAATCACCTCCCCTCAAACACCCTCAAACCAGAAACCAACACCCCAGCCCAGCACCTCCCGCATTAAACTGCGCTCTTTAAAACAAGGTTGGTCATTCAGCAGCCTGCCCCCTCCCCCACCAGTACCTTCCAACTTCAAAACACTGCTTTAAATACCAGAGTCTGCCCAAATCGTAATTAACCTGGATCAAATGATTGTGTCGTAACTTTACAACACAGGGCTGGGGAAAAAAAAAAAAAGTGAAGGATGTGCTAAAACCAAGCCCTCGCTCCAAGGCCGTGGGAATCATTAATTCCAGAGTGAGGAATCTTTGGCTATTGGGGTGTACGTGGGGGGCGGATGCCAACAGCACCGCAGAGGGGGAGGGGGAGGGCTGCGTCACCTCGTCTACTTTCTGCGCCAGGTTTCCAGCCCCATTCTCAGCCTCAACTCAGAGGGCTCCGCGCGGGACGCCCCCTACCCATCCCACTCCACCCCGCCTCGCCTCGCCACGCCTCGCCTCGCCCCGCCCCGCCCAGGGGGCGGAGGTGTCCGGCCGCCGCTGCCAGCTCACCTACTTGGGTTCCGGCACCAAAGAAAGGTTGGCTCCTCTGTGTCCACCGGCTCGCCGGGAAGACACAGCCCAGACAGCGACGCGGGGCCCAGCCACAGACGAGGGAGACGTGTACACGACCACAGCGAGGTGCTGGAGGCGGTGGCGGTAGGCACTTTATTTCAGGAGCCCACCAACCCCCTTAAGGCATCCTACAGGCCCAATGTAGATACGCGCACCTCGTCCGCTCCCCGGACCGGGAGAATGTCAGTGACCCATTTAGACGGAAACTTGGCAGGATCACTATGTACTCCCCTCCACCCCAACACACATACGTACCAAACCCCAGAAAATATCCCTCCAGACCAGCGGATCCTGCGGTCGCAGGGAAAGCTGTGCGAGCAGTATTCGGCCCTTCCCCCTTCGATAGCCAAAGCCTTTCAAGCCTGCCTCCTCCGGCAGGCCGAGCAGACCCGCACTTCCAGTGCTCCGCAGGTCTCTCTATCCCTCCCTCCCGTTTGCTGATTCCGGAGGGTGCAGCGCGTAGGAGCCTGGACGAGCCCGGACCCCGACTAGGAAGTTTCCGGCGAACCGCACATAAACGCACACCTGACCGAAGCGGCGAGTCTTCCCCCCCCCCCCCCCCCCCACCCGGGTCTCCGTGCGCGGGGAACCTGGGGTCCCCTGGAGGCCAGTCCTCCGGTCTGTCGAGCAGTCGAGCAGACCTCGACTCGGGCACCCGTTCCAAGGAAAAGAAGTGATCCCTTCTAGGCGGGGGCAGGAAGCTTACTCTGAACCACCTGGCCCGCGCCGCCCGAGGGGTGGCTGCGCCATCGCCCACTTTGGTGGGCGGAGAAATCTACCTTCTAACTTGGGTGCCGTGGCGCTTTCCCTGTGCACACCGACGCGGTGATGGACCACTTCAACTTCGGGAGACTGGGGCGCAAATGTCCCCTATACGTCCGCCCCCACGCCCGATCGCTCCCTACCTGCTTGGCTCAGCCTCGGGTCCCAGCAGAGCAGCAGCGCCAGCAGCAGCGCGCCCCGCGCTCCGCTCCGGGCCCACATGCTCCCGCGGCCAGGCTCGGGCGCCTCTCCCCCGGGGCTCTCTCCCTGGCCCCAGCCTCGCCGCCGCCGTCTCCGCCGCCGCCGCCTCCTCCTCGCCGTCCTCCCCGGCGCCCGGCCGCGCCAGCCCGTGCCCTCCGTGGGGGCAGCGGCAGCCACGCTGCGCAGAGGGCTGCCGGGCGCTCGGAGCGCAGTGGGTGCCCGGCGCCCGCTCTCCCGCCAGGCTCCGGCGCGCCCCTCTCTGCGCTCCTCAGGCTCTGGGGCTCCGAGCGCTCCCCGCGCTCCCACGCCCTGGCTTCGAAGTTGCGAGACAGAAGGTGAGTGCACTCAGCGACACTCGCAGCAGCCCGCGCCGCGCCGTCCGAACCCCCGCGCGCGCCTCTCTGCGCCCCGCCGCTACCCGCGGCTCCGGCGCCCTCGCCGGCCTCCGCCGCCTGCCACAATGCCGAGCGCCGCCGCTCGCTCGCCCTAGTGAGTCCGCGAGCGGAGGGGGGGGACGGCGCGCGGCCGGGGCGGGGCCTGGGCGGGCAGGGGCGGGGCCGGCAGGGGGCCCCGGAGGGGGGGAACCGAGGGCCACCCGGGCGCGGCCTCTGCCGAGCTGGGGGCCTTTCAGGGGGGGTCCTCGCGAGCCGGTGGGCCTGGCGACTTGGAAAACCCGGCCGCTGGAAATCAGCTGGAAGTGGAGTCTGGCCAATTTTCTTTTCCAAAAACTAAGGAAGTGTATCTAAGCTCTCCTTTGGCTTGGCTGTGTCAGCTTTCTCATCTGATCAAACTGAGGAGTCTCACTTTTGGCTCCCTTCGTCTGTATTACGTCCCATGCCTTCTACATGCTGGGATGTTTCCAAAACCGACTCTCTAAATGAGAAAATCTTGAACGCCGAAGTCGTGATCAAGCTGGGGCTTACAGCTATGTGAACTTGGGTATGAACTTGGGATGTAGATCATCCTGGATGGGTCTACTTGTCTGAATAACCTCAGGCAGAACTGTTTACCAGACCCCTCTAAACCTCTCGTAGCACTTTAGGGGACTAGGGCGTTAAAAACTTGTCCTCCAAGGAACAGTGGGGTAGAGGGCACGGGTACAAACATTTTTGGCTCAGAGAAACTTGGGCTCTGTTCCTTACCTTCTGTGTGACCTTGAACTGAGCAAGTTACTTAACCATTCTGATGCTCCCTTCATCATCATCTAAAATAGAGAAAAAATTATAATTATTTCATAAGGGGGCATAGGATTGAATGAAAAAAAATTATGTATGGAAACTGCATTAAATGTCAGTAATCTCTCTTTCCAAGATCTCCCCTCCCTGCCAGGCTGATTCCTGGGGGGTATACCAGTCCTGGCCTTCCAAGGGTAGGCCAAAGGCCATTTAGGTGGAGTTTGAGGGATGGTGGTATTTTAAGATTGAAACACAGAGACGTCAGAAGGGGTGGGCCAGCTAACACTGGCAAAGACTTGTGCCCCAGGAATGGGGTTAAGCACTTGATACGCATTACCTCAGTCCTCACAACAATTCTATCCCCATTTTATAGATGAAGGAATAGAGGCACAGAGATGTAAAGTCATTTGCTCAAGATCACACAGCTTGGAGAGAATGAGTGAATGAAGGGTGCAGGGAAGATGGGATTAGAAAGAAACTCTGAGCTGGGGAGCCTCCACCCCCCACCCCCCACCCCAGCTCTCAGGGGCTGGCCTGGCAGAGAAGGATATTGCCAGCCAGCAGGAATGCCTCTTCTCCCTAGCTCTGATCTGTTCTCTACTTGGGATTTTTCTGGAGCTGGGATCTAGAATAGCTCCTCAAATACAGGTGCCGTGGGCAGCTTCAGGAAGGGGTGAAGGAAGCCCGAGATTGGTCCAGCTGGGCCGAGCAGCCTGTAGGGGATGGGCTGAAATAGAGCCAAGTATGCCCAGGGATACTTTCTAGGCTGAAGAAGAAAGGATTTGGGGACCAGAGGGGACCTGGTGGGGACAGAGGAACAACAAGTATTGCCCATACCCTCCTCCACACACCCTGCCCCACAGGTTGGGGTCCGGAGCCTCTGGGGCAGGGTTCCTATAGTCAGTCTGCCCCTTCCGCCCTCTGTGGCTGGGTACTCAGGATCAGGAGGGTGGATGCGGGTAGTGCCAGACTCCCTGGGAAGAACTTTGGCCAACCGAGAAAGGTCCCTGTGGGCAAAGGTAGGCGGGTTATTTTTAGCTTGGCCCAGGGCAGCCCAGGCAAGGGTAGTGGATGAGAGAGTCAATAGCTGATCACACCAAGCCAGCTCCACCCGTCCATATAACTATAAGCACACATATGTACACATACCTCTGGACACAGTTACAGGCATACCTCACTGATACACACCTACAAAAGCACACACAGGTAAACACACAGCAAAGACCCACAGGTGCAAATGCAAACTGACCCTCCCAGAAACACCTACAAATGGTGCAGAGACAACCACATACCTAAGCCACAGGACCAAAATAGGCACACGCACACCCCTTGTCACAGCCACAGACATATACACAGACATACACCCCCAAAAGAACAAACATACTCCTAAGATGACACGGAAGCAGTAGATACTTAGATGCCTGACTACCACGAGGAAACCCATACAGGAACACAGGTACCGAGACCCACAACTGACCATCACCGTCTGGGTGCAGACACATGGTCAAGGACACTATGCTGGACAACTTGGCAGGGAGGGACCTCAGCAGAAACATGGCAGGCGGGGAGCACAGGGCTGATGTGCACACACGTGCTCTCTCTCTCTCTCTCTTTCTTAATCAGAAAGCCGGTGGGAATTGGAGATTTTTCCAAAAACTTTCAGTCCTCTGGACTTTGCTGTTCAGGCAGTAGCTGCACCAGGTAGGCCCTTCTAGCCTGGTTTCATGACTTTGTTTAATTCCTGGCGGCAGGGCAGGGGGGGATGGGAGGGCAAGCAAAATAAATGTGGTCATTTATTTGCCCCTCTCCTCCCGGCTGTCCTACCTTCCTCCCCAGCCTAAAAACTCTGTCAACTCTTAAAATATCCCCATGGAGGGGGGTGGGGGTCCTGGGCCCGGTTTTCCCTCCAGGACTCCAGCATCAGGGTGGGGAACTTACCACACTGGGGATCCCTCTGTAATTCCCTGCCCCCCTGCCATGCTGTAACAGTGTGAGTGCTGGCCCTCGGCTGGGGTCAGGGAAAGGCCTTCAGAGGCCCTGAGCCCACACCTTTCCCTGGGATGGGTGAAGAATGGGCAAGGCCCAGGCCCTGGGATGACTCATTAGTGTAACTGGATTAAGAATTACCAAGGTGTTCCCAAACCCAGAGCCATCACACTCGCAGTAAAGGTGTTCCTGCTGTGAGTTAAGGAGGAGGAGGAGGAGGAGGTGATGAGCTGCTTAGAGGCAGGGCCCCTCCTTTCCTGTTCACTATCATGTATCTGGCTTGTAAGACAGCATCCTGCACATGGTAGGCCTACAATCAATATCAGTTGAGTGGAAACATCAATGAGGCTGGAAAAAGAGGGGCTACTGAGCAAAGGGTCCCCAGACTTGTCAAATGGGCCCTAGAAGGAACCTTGCACCTCCCCCTCCATTTCCTGGGGGCCTGGGACCTAGGGCTGGAGGAATGTGGGCGGGGGCGGGGGGGGGCACCTTTCTGCAACACTGCTGCTTTGAAATCAGTTCCAGAACCAGCTCTGACCCTCATTAGGGGCTGCAGATGCTTCCACGGGCTACCCTCATTTCTCCCGAACCAGAAGAGCCTGTGGGAGCCAGAGTTGTGGAATCTGGAGTTGAGCTGATTGACGTTTGATGGTCCAGGGACAGCTCTTACCTGCTGGGAGAAGGCGGGGGCTGTCTGCTGAGCCTTTCCTAGCATCAGTTTCCTCGATTGTAAAATGGAAACACTATCTCCTAGAATTAAAAAGAATACACACAAAGCCCCTTATCTGGCTGAACACAAGCTATTTATTTAGTAACAATGCTGATTTAAGAGCCGCTGTCGGGGTTGTCTCGGCCGGCGGGGCTGGCGGCTCCGGGTTGGCCCCTCCTTCTGTGACCAGGACCCGTGTGCTCGCAGCTGCCACTAGGCGGCGCGCTGCAGCTCATTTCCCGCGGCCTGCCGCTGCAACCTCCGTTCTAAGGCCGCGGGTAAGGAAGGGAGAGAAGGCCATGGGTCCGGAAGGGAGCCTTGCTTCCACCCGGGAGCCGCCCAGGAGTGGTTCTTGGGCCCCTAGGTGGTCTGGGGAAGGGAGCTCTCAGACTGCTCGGTTTCGAGGATCTTGTTGCGTGAGGGGGGGAGGAGGGGGTAGGGGGGCTGGGGAGTGGGGTTTGGGATGGGGCGGGAGGTTTAAGGATGAATTCGTAATCCCCCCCCCCCCCCCCCCGGCGCATCCAGTCCATTATGGACCCCAAACACCTGGACCCTGGTGGGGAGGCACCTAACGTTGAGGCCTTTGAAGCTCTACCGTCTCTTTGTAATATTATTATAGCTAATGTTGATTGCTTTCTATGTGCCAGGTACTATCCTGAGTCCTTCATATGCTGACAACAACCCTATGAGACAGGCACTGTTACCCCTATTTATTTGCCAGATAAAGGAACTGAGGCACAGAGAGGCAACTGGCCCACGGTCACATACAGCTTGCAAATGGGCCAGTGGAGATTCAAATCCAGACGGAATGGATCTCAAGCTTATACTCTTTCAATTTTGTATCACATGAAATTTATCATTTAAGAGTGTACAATTCAGGGGCACCTGGCTGATCTTGGGGTCATGAGTTCAAGCTCCATGTTGGGCATTGAGCTTAATAGATAATAAATAAATAAATAAATAAATAAATAAATAAATAAATACGATTCATTGTTTCCTAGTATATTCATGATGCTGTACGGCCATCATCATTATCTAATTCAACAGCAATCCTGTCCCTCCAAAAAAGAAATCCCACACCATTAAGCAGTTACCTCCGCTGTGTCCCTTTCACATTCTTCCCTCTCCCAGCCCCTGGCAACCATGAATCTACTTTCTTGTTTCTGTGCACTTACCTATTCTGGGAATTTCGTATGAACAGATGCATAACACTATGTGACCATCAGGCTTGGGTTCTTAACCTCCGCTAAATGCTGTGACAGCCCCCACCCCCACCCAGACACACATCTTTTCTCTTGTCCCCAGGCGAGGGCCTTCTCCCTGGGGTTCAAGCAACAGAAGCAGTTAGTCGCAAAAGCCTTGGGGTCAGGCAGATCCGGGTTTAAATCCTGGCTCTGTCTTGGACAATTTACTCATTGTCTCTGCTGTTGCCTTCTGTTAATTAATTTAAAAAAATTAAATTTTT